ACTTCAAATTTACACATCACATTCAAATAAAACATCAGCATACTCCAAATACAAACATTTGTCAAAATCATACAAATCCCTTCAGTGGTTAAGTTAGCTGGAAGTCCTTTTTAACCGACTGCAAGCATGGCTTGGGTGTGGTAAGCCAATTATCTCCAGGCACAGAAAATCTCTCTCTTTTCACAACAACAGTAAAAATACATAAAAATACAATTCCTATCATACTGAACAGAACCCCCACATTCAACCTATCCCCAGATAGCTTGGATCTGAGCGCTTAATATATCCGAACCGCACTCAGATCCCACGAACACAGTCAAATCGCCATAGAGCTTAAGGTCCAATAAGCCCAAACAGAGCTTTTGAAGGGCAATACAGTCCAGGGCCATAGTCGCAGGGCAAGAGGCTAGCCATTAGTCCTCTCCAGGCACAAGTGGCGAAGGGCACTTCGTCACATTGTCTAAAGGGTACAACTTCTTGTTCCTTTATTATCTGATATAAATGAGTTATCCCTTTGTCTACCCAATATTTTAAACTTATATCACTCTGAAGAATTCCCATGATATTTAACGAGTTATAGGATTTCAACTCATACACTGCTAAATGTTTTGATTTTATTTTTCTCCAAATAAAGCTTAAATCTTTTAAAATAGGGTTATTTATTACATCCTTTACTTCTTTTGGCCATAGAATGATTCTCACATACTTTTTATTTTCTAATTCTAACCATTGTGAGGCTTGATTTGTATTGCACCATTTCACTATATGAGATGGCATAATTGAGTCATAGATTATTTTTATATTTGGAAGACCTAAGCCACTTTCTTTCATGGTTCTAGATAATACTTTGTATGCCATTCTCGGTTTCTTATAGTTCCAAACAACCTGATTAAATATCTTTTGGAATTCAGATAACACTGTGTTAGGAACCGCTAACGGAATAGATCTGAAAATAAATTTAGGTTTAGATAGTATACAATATTTAATTGTTTCTATTCTGCCTATCCATGAAATGGTAAGTTTTTTCCATTCATTTAATTTATTTTTTAATTTATTTAACAAGGATTTATAATTAAATTAAATTATTTCTTTTTTTTTTTAAGCCAATTTTTATCCCTAGATAGTCCGTTGTTTTCTCTTTCCATTGAAATTTATATGTTTCTTGAAGATCTTTTTTTTATTACCCTCCTTTATATTTCCCATTAGTGCTTGGTACTTATCGATATTTAATTTATACAATTATATTTCAGAAAATTCCTGTATCTCCTTCATAAGTTTGCATACTGATAATACTGGATCTTCTAAAGTTAAAAAAAGTCATCAGTGTACATTGATAATTTAAATTCACTTTCTACCACTCTGAAGCCTTTTATCCTTTGGTTGTCCCTAATTTTATGAGCAAAAGGCTCCAATTGGGGTACGTATAACATTGGAGCCAATGGGCACCCTTGTCTGGTATCATTATATATTTTAAACCAAGGAGATCTTATTCCTGAACCTAAGATACGGGCTTGCGGATCTTTATATAAAACCCATATTGATTTAAAAAATGCCTCCCCCAAATTAACTTTCTTTAATGTTTCTTCTAGAAATACCCAACTGACCCTGTCAAAGGCGTTCTCAGCATCCAATGAACGGGTCAGAAGGGATCTTTTTTGACTATAGGCCGAAAACATTATATTCATTATTTTTCTTATGTTATCCTCTGCTTTTCTTTTTGGTATAAAACCTGATTGATCTTTATTTATTAACTTTGTAGATTACCTTTTTTAATCTATTTGCCCACACTGATGAATATATCTTCGTATCTACATTTATAAGAGAGATTGGTCTGAAATTTTTAATATTTTGTCTTTACCAGGCTTCAAGATGGGAGATGTGTTTGCTGATAACATCTCTCTTGACATTTTCCCTTCTTTTCCAATTTCCCTGGATAGATCCAAAGAATGATTTTGCAGATCCTTTTCAAAAACGTTATAAAAAATATTAGAAAATCCATCCGGACCCTGTGCTTTATTTGTCTTTAAATTTTGAATCAAATTTGACATTTCTTGCAGAGTTATTGGAGTGTTTAAGATTTCATAATCAACATCAGATATATTGGATTTATTACATTTCTCCAATTTTTTTATTTTTTCTCGTACTTTTAATAGATCACAATCTTTGCCTAAATTATGTAATTTTTTATAAAAATATGATAAGCAAACAGTATTGTTTTCCTGTTTTCTGTTATTTTTTCTATTTTCAATTTTTTTCTTTTGATTTTTTTAGCTTGTTGGACATCATTCTATTAGCCCTATTTCCTTGGCAATACCATTTTGGTTTTAAACGCAGGAGGTTTAAATTCATTCTTTCTACATCTTTGAGTTTTATTTGATCTCTAATTTTGTGAATTTCTTCAAAAGTTTTAGGAGATGCCATTTTTCCTTCTAATTGAGATAAATGGATATATAATTGTTGGATAGGTAAACTTTTTTTTTCCTCATTATAATCAAATTTAAAGGAGCAATATAGGGTCAGGAACACAAACATGTATTCCTGACCCTATAGGGTTAAAACCACCATCTAGCCCCCCTGGTCCCCTCATGCCTCCCTAAATATAGTAAAATCTTACTTTTATTCAAGTCTGCAGCTGCTTACTTTGTTCCTGTTTCCTTGACTCCTGCACACTGCCTGCTGACATCAGAAGTGGTAGCCTGATCCAATCACAATGCTTCCACATAGGATTGGCTGAGACTGACAAAGAGGCAGATCAGGGGCAGAGCCAGCACAATTCAAACACAGCGCTGGCCAATCAGCATCTCCTCATAGAGATACATTGAATCAATGATTCTCCATGAGGAAAGTTCAGTGTCTGCATGCAGAGAGAGGAGATACTGAATGTTTGGATGCATTTTAGGCAGCCATGACCTAGGAAGGATCTCTAACAGCCATCTGAGGAGTGGCCAGTGAAGTGATCACTAGGCTGTAATGTAAACACTGCATTTTCTCTGAAAAGACAGTGTTTACAGCAAAAAGCCTGAAGGTAATGATTCTACTCACCAGAACAAATTCAATAAGCTGTAGTTGTTCTGGTGACTATAGTGTCCCTTTAATTATGTGCCTTGAATGCACACCAAGTAAATCCCTTTGAGATTTGACACAATTTATTTTCATTTAAATAACTTTTTTTTTTTTTTTTGCAAGCTTTCCATGATATACTGTTGTTTACGAAGGGATTCATTAAGTCTCCATTCTTGTCTAGCTTTATTTTTACTTAGTTTTAATTCAAGAAATATTGGTGCATGATCTGACCAAATGGGAATTGAAATGTCACATTTTAAGTTTTCATAAAAGATAGAGGTTGTGGTTAAAAAGAAATCCATATGTGAGAAGGAATTAAAGGGTACAGAATAAAACCTAAAATCTTTTTTTTCTGTATTTATAGTTCTCGATATATATCGATTAAATTATAGTTTTTTTTACCATTTTTTTTTTTTTTTTTGCTTCTGATAGCAATTTCTTATTTATGCTTCTCCCTTTTTGTAATTTTCTTTGTCCAAATTTATGTCACCAACCAAATTGAAATCACCCTCCATTAATAGTTGACCTTGTGCAAATGTATCTACCTTTCCTTGCATTTATGTTAGGTGCATAAACATTAACTATTGTGAAGAGTGTGTTTTCTATTTTACAATTCAATATAATGTATTTCCCCTCTTTATCAATCTCTTTAAGTATTATCTCAAAATATACCAATTCACTTATTAAAATTAAAGTGTCTCTACTTTTTTTTATTATAACATGACATTATTTGCCTTGAATATTTTTTGTAATATAAATTATTTTTTTTTTTGTGTTGAGACCCAGTGCGTCTCTTGAATAAGTGCAATATCTATTTTTTCTTTATTTAACATATCTAATAATTTGTGCCTTTTAAAGGGTGAATTTAAACCCTGTGCCTTTATAGAGCAAAATGTAACCATGGGTTTTTTTCAGGTTTTTTTTTCAGGTTTTTTTTTCAGTTTTTTTTTCAGGTTTTTTTTTCCCTCCTTTTCCCCAAAACTCATATAGTATTATTCATTTATATTCTAATCTTCTCTCTTTTCTTTTCTTTCCCCCTTTTTTGTATTTTACAACACAATCATACCAAGACAAGCAGAAAAAAACCTCTAGCATGAATATGATGAGGTTCATGTTCTGCTTACAAAAGAAATTGGTTATTTAGCTCCAGCAGGAAGCTAATCGCAGCATGGCAGGTAAAGGCAAGAAAGAGATGAGGTTAGTGTGGGAGCAAAAAAAAAGATTCCACTCCCTGCCCACCTCTATATTATGAATTTCAATAGATCATTCCTCTAACAGCGAATTCTTTCTCTTTTTATCCTTCCCCTTTCCTTCCCTTCTACTCTCCCTCTCCCTACTCCTTTCTCTTTTTTTTCCTTTTTTTTTTTCTTCCTTTTTCTTTCCTTTCACGTTCCCTTTCCCTAGCTTTTACCCACCTTTGTATTCCCTTTTTCTTTCTTTTCTATGAGTTTGAGGTACCCCTTTCCTCTATTTTCCAATCCTTTATTAATTTTAGACCTTGATCTTTAGATGAAATAATACTTTCTTCATTGTAGTTAAGGAAAAATATAGCTGGATACATCCATGTGGATTTTATTTTTTCTCTTGTTAAAACATCAGTGTGACGAGAGCAATCTCGCCACATTGCATTGGAGAAGCCTGACTGCCTGTCTGCTGCCTTTGGACTATGGACCAGACTTTATGTGAATGTGTTAACCCAGATAGCTATGCCATGGAGCCCATTCATGTAGTTAAAGACTTCGGCTCCATGGCAATTGAACTGTGTGAATAGGATCTGAGCGCTATTCGGTAGTTTTGTGCGCTCAGATCCCAGCTATCTGGGGATATGTGAAATGTCTGTGTGTTATGTGTAAAAGGTGACTTTATGTATTTTAAAGTGTTTTATGTCTTTTTGCAACCATGTGCTCAATGGAGTCTGCCTCTATCCCTGGATAATTGGATTACTTTCCCCCATTGTCTCCAGGATAGAGGGCTCTGTAAAACCTGTTTGAGCCAGATAGCCATGTGCCAGCCAGGGCCCAAAAGATACTTTTACTAACTTTTGAACCCCTGGTCGGATTCATGCCATTTTTTTAATATGTTGTTCCCCTGAATGGATTGATTGTGAATATGTAATTTTATGTGAATGTGATGTATGGTTTTAGAGTTATGAAAGTTGGGTAGAAAGTATGTTTTAACTGTATGTGTAATTGAGTTTCCTCTCAGGATAAGGGGAGGGAATATGTGGGATGTAACTGATATGTGATTGGTTGTTTTATACCTCCCTGTGGGCGGTCCTGTATTTGCAAAGACTGTAATAAAAACCAGGCTGGGTGTGCCAGCACCTTAGACCACTGCTTGACCCTCAACACGGAGCCTTGTCTCGTTCTTGGGGGGATTCACTGTATGCTGTTAGAGACTGATTGCCAGGAGTGTAAGCTGATTGTCTGCTTTTCCTGTTCGTCTGCTAGCAGCTATTTGGGAGGTTTCAGTTCGGGAGTTGGAGTGCTATTTTGTATCCAGTTTGGGAGTTGGGTGTTCTGCAGTAGCTGTGCCTGCATCTCTGTAAAGGGGGCCGATCGCCTAAACGGTTTTTACCCCTTGTGCGCAAAACGGTCCGTTACAATTGGTGGCAGCGGTGGGATCGTTCCTACAGCCAGAAGGACAGCTACAGGAGACACCATTTCTTTGGATTTACAAGTTAAGGGCAATGCATGTCCTAGTACAGCGACCCTGACAGCACCAGGATGGAACCATCAGTGGAGTACAGCTACTCTATGAGAGAGTATGACCGGATGGTGTGGTTTCACCTAAGCTTCTTCGGATCCAACCCACTGGAGAGATCGGTGCGGTTCGTGAGGAACCTAGTGTTCGAGAGGCTGCAACAACGGGCAGAAAGAGAAGGTCAGTTGGCACGTTGGGAGAAACTCCAGCGGCAGATGCAGCAGGGAATTGGGAGCCCAGTCTCCACTCCCCAATTCCCGGCAGTGTGATATGCCGGGAATTGGGAGCCCAGTCTCCATTCCCCAGCGGCAGTGTAAAGTGCAGGGAGAGGAGAGCAGTGTCCTCCCTCCCCAGCGACAGGCTGAGTTACAGGGGGCAGAGGTAGTTGTTCCTGCCCCCCAGTAGCCAAGTGATATGCCGGGAAGGCAGTGTGAAGTCCAGGGAGAGGAGAGCAGTGTCCTCCCTCCCCAGCGGCAGCGTGATTTCCTGGGAATTGGGAGCCCAGTCTCCATTCCCCAGCGGCAGTGTGATGTGCCGGGAATTGGGAGCCCAGTCTCCATCCCCCAGTGGCAGTGTGATGTGTCGGGAATTGGGAGCCCAGTCTCCATTCCCCAGCGGCAGAGTATCCAACAGGGAATAGAGAGCCCAGTCTCCTTTCTCCAGCAGCAGGACTCTGTATTGGGATGGGAGACAGTCGGTCTCCCTCCACAGAGGCTGGAAGTATGTATGGGAGAGGAACTTGCTAACCCCTCTCCCCAGCGGCAGATTATCAATGTGCAGGGAATAGAGAGCCCAGTCTCCTTTCCCCAGCGGCAGAGTGTTCTATCGGGAGAGGAGCCTGTTACCCCCTCTCCCCAGCCACAGCTTAGTGTACAAGGGGGAGACTGTAAGACCCACACCTGTGCAGATGGGACCGTGGTCTCTGCACTCCCAGCACAGGGGGTAGGGACGGTTGGTCCTGCCCCCCCACGACAGGGCTGTTTAGCCAAAGGGGAGACAGTCAGTCTACAGCAGCAGAGCTGTGTAACTAAAGGGGAGACAGTCGGTTTCCAGCAGCAGAGCGGTGTATTTAAATGGGAGACAGTTGGTCTCCAGCAACCAGGCTTCAACCAGACTACTCCCGTGGTAGTGCTGGCATCAGGGCAGAGTACCGCTGGTTTCTGCCCACTCAGCAACCCACCAAAGCAGCCTACCAGTCCCCCACCCCGCCGTGGTGAGGAACCTGGACATGGACAAGTTTCTCCTCTACCCAGGTGTAGTAACCAGTTATTGTGGGTGGGCTGTACTGCTGTTTCTGTTTTGTGGGTGGGCTGCTGGACTAACAAGGGCACTGACCGGCAGGAGGTCAGATACCCTGTTAGTCTGTTTGGAAAAGGGGAGAGATGTGACGAGAGCAATCTCGCCACATTGCATTGGAGAAGCCTGGCTGCTCGCCTGCTGCTTTTGGACTATGGACCAGTCTTTATGTAAATGTGTTAACCCAGATAGCTATGCCATGGAGCCCATTCGTGTAGTTAAAGACTTTGGCTCCAATGCAATTGAACTGTGTGAATAGGATCTGAGCGCTATTCGGTAGTTTTGTGCGCTCAGATCCCAGCTATCTGGGGATATGTGAAATGTCTGTGTGTTATGGGTAAAAGGTGACTTTATGTATTTTAAAGTGTTTTATGTCTTTTTGCAACCATGTGCTCAATGGAGTCTGCCTCTATCCCTGGATAATTGGATTACTTTCCCCCATTGTCTCCAGGATAGAGGGCTCTGTAAAACCTGTTTGAGCCAGATATCCATGTGCCAGCCAGGGCCCAAAAGATACTTTTACTAACTTTTGAACCCCTGGTCTGATTCATGCCATTTTTTAATATGTTGTTCCCCTGAATGGATTGATTGTGAATATGTAATTTTATGTGAATGTGATGTATGGTTTTAGAGTTATGAAAGTTGGGTAGAAAGTATGTTTTAACTGTATGTGTAATTGAGTTTCCTCTCAGGATAAGGGGAGGGAATATGTGGGATGTAATTGATATGTGATTGGTTGTTTTATACCTCCCTGTGGGCGGTCCTGTATTTGAAAAGACTGTAATAAAAACCAGGCTGGGTGTGCCAGCACCTCAGATCACTGCTTGACCCTCAACACGGAGCCTTGTCTCGTTCTTGGGGGGATTCACTGTATGTTGTTAGAGACTGATTGCCAGGAGTGTAAGCTGATTGTCTGCTTTTCCTGTTCGTCTGCTAGCAGCTATTTGGGAGGTTCCAGTTTGGGAGTTGGAGTGCTATTTTGTATCCAGTTCAGGAGTTTGGTGTTCTGCAGTAGCTGTGCCTGCATCTCTGGAAAAGGGGCCGATCGCCTAAACGGTTTTTACCCCTTGTGCGCAAAACGGTCCGTTACAATCAGTTTTAACCTTTGTTGCCGAGTGACAATAGATAAATCATTCATGATTGTTAGATCTTTGAAATTCCCGATTTTTATTCTCTGTTTTATATCTCGCTTTCCAGATCTTTTCTTTGTATAAATAGTTTTGAAAACAAACTATAATGTCCCTGGGGCATTTGTAGGTGCTTGTGATGGTTTTGGGAACCTATGGGCTCTAACTAGGAGTGATTCTTTTTCTCCTACTTCTCCCGACATTTCTTTGAAGAAATCATAAATAAAATATTTTAGTTCTCTACTTTTTACATCTTCCGAGATAACCTCTTATCGTGAGATTATTTTTCCCTGAGCGGTCTTCCAGATCAGCTATTTTGTTTTGTAGCTCAGATACTTTTTGGATAGGTTCTCATTTTCTTCTTGTTGTTTTTCCATGTCAAATTTCATGGATTCAAGTTTTCCGGTGTTCTCTTCGAATTCTTTCATTCCTCTTTAACTTCTTTTATAACAGTAGTCATTTCTTTTTCTATTTAGTCTCTATGTTCTTCTAATAGATTTGTCAAAAACTCTTTGGTAATTTGTACTCACTCTTCTTGTACTATAATTTGGAATTTGGAATTTTCTTGCCTTTCTTTTGCTTGATCTAATATTTCTAATTCATTTTGAGATTGGTGTCTCTTTTATTTTGTTTGGACAGAGAACTCAATCTTCTTCTTGACATTGAGTTTCCTTCTGAGCTTGGGGAGGGATAATATGATAGCAGCAATTTATTTGATCCCTGCTCTTTCTCCTCTATTTTGTTATTCTACGAATCTTTCAACTCCTTTTTCCTTTCGCTCCGTAGCAATGTTTATCCTTCTTTTCTTTTTTCTTTTTCCTTATTTGTTTTAAATTCTTCAGGGATTCTCTCTAGTGTCCACCTCCAGAATGAAACTATCCAACCGAACAGGCCAAAATTTTAGCCTCAGTATCTGCTCTTTCTCACTGATTTTGATGCTTCTCTTAAAGTGACTTGGGGGTACTTTACTTACAGTGTCCTACTAAACATATATACAAGTTGTGTATATATATATATTTTATTTTTATTTTTTTTCCTTTCTCTCTTTTACTTTTCCTTCCCCTCTTCCTCTCTTTTTTTTCCCCTTTTTTCAATATTCTCTCTGGAGGTAACTTTTAGAGAAAGTCCTCCTCCTAATTCACCAAAGAGTCTTTCACCGGAAGTTTCCCACAACCATATATCTTTTAAATAAATTTAGAAACGCTCTATGGACCGGCATTACGGAGTACACTTATCATTTGCTTTCCCTTTCAACCACTTGAATTTTCCATTTTTGTTTTTCCCCAAAGGGGATTTTTCACTTAACAGGTTTTTTTTCTTTCTATTTCTCTCTCGTTTCTTCTTTTTTTTCCCCCCTCGCTTTGCACCATAATTTCTTGACACAGATATATCCAGATTAAATAACATGGTTAAGCTGGGCTTAACTGATGTTTGCTGACCAGCCTATGTACAAAACATGCTTGATTCCTTTTTTTATTTTTGTTTCCTACTCACGGTTTTTACGTTGAGCTGTCGAATGGCTCCAATTTCCTTTTTTGCAGTTAAGTGATAAGTTCTTACTTACTTTAATGCCTTATGTCCTACCATAGCTCCATCACCCACTTCACCTCTCTGCTGCACCTCCACGCATCCCTCTCACTTTCCCCATGCTTATTCCACCTTATTTTCACTTCACCTTCCAGACCCCCACAGCTCTCCCTCGATCTTACAGATAGGGTAGGTATTTTGGGCGTCTCGTTGCTCGGGTCGGATCAAATTTCCTCGTACTTCTTTTTGCCGCGTTCTTCTTAGAGAACCACAATTACTCTGCCATTACTCCACCTCCTCCCGCCGTGCCGCGTCACAAACTTCCTATGTCATCCCCAACCCACGAAAAATGTGTACATTTGCATAATTCTAAGTTTTCCTGAAAAGCAATCTATGCACACAATTGTAGTGTTTGGTTATGTTTGTGTGCTAGCTATGAATCCCTTGCTTTACATGCATGTTTGACTCGTTTTTATTCAGACAATAAATGCTCGGTAGTGAAAGGGTTAACAGAAACTATTGCTCAGGTAATTATTGGAAGATCTGTTATTGGTGGCTTTGAACTCTTGCTGGAAAAGGGGTTGTG